AACTGATACAAAAACTACGAGGGCTGTTCGGAAAGTTCGCGGCCTCACATAGAAAAACAAACAAAATAATGTTAAAACTTTTTTATTTTTCAATGTAATCTCCTCTGTTAGCAATGCACTTATTCCAGCAATGTTCTAGCTTTTTTATGCCATCACAATAGGTCGATTTGTCAAGGTGTGCAAAATACTCGTTCATTTCAGAGATGACTTTGTCATTTGAGTGGAATCTCTTTCCAGCCAAGAATTTTTTTAGGTTTGGAAAAAGGTGGAAGTCACTGGGGGCCAAATCAGGTGAGAACAATGGATGTGGAACTAATTGGAAGCAAAGTTCGTTTATCTTTTGTTCAGTGATTCTGGCGGAATGTGTAGGTGCATTATCGTGGTGGAACAGAACTTTTTTCTTCTTCAAGTGTGGCCTCTTTTCTTCGATTTCTTTCTTCAGTTTTTCCCAGTAATTCACAGTTTTTCCCCAGTTCTTCACAGTAATAGACAGCATTAATGGTCTTTCCTCTTTCTAGGTAGTCAATAAAGATGATGCCTTTAACATCCCAAAAAAAAAAAAAAAAACCGAGGCCATCACTTTACCCGCTGATGGAACTGTACCCGCTGATTTGCCTTCTTTGGTGGTGGCGAACTGTGGTGTTTCCATTGCTTCAACTGTTCTTTTGTTTCAGGAGTGTAGTAATGGATCCACGTTTCGTCAGTAGTCACAAACCGACACAAGAAATCCTGTGGGTTTTTCTGGTAGAAGTCCAAACACTCCTTTGACATCAAAGTGCGAACACGTTTTTGCTCGGCGGTCAGCAGATGTGGCACCCACCTTGCTGAGACCTTCGTCATACCCAAATCTTCGGTTAGGATGTGATGCACTCGGTTGACAGAGATGCCTGTTGTCTCAGCTATCTCACACGTTTTCAAACGGCGATCTGCTAATACCAAATCGTGAACTTTGTCAATGTTTTCTTCAGTGACAGCAGTTGACGGCTGTCCGCTGCGAGGGTCATCTTCCACACTTTCTCTGTCAGATTTAAAAAGGGCTGTCCATTTTTTCACAGTGGTGTACGAATGAGCAGACTCTCCTAAAACTTCATCCATGTCAGCTTTGATTTGAGATGGGGTCAACCCTTTTTTCGTCATGTATTTTATGACCGCACGAGTCTCCGTCTTCTCCATTTTTGACAAAGTATGTGCACACTGACTATCTGCTAAGCTGTTGTGGCAAAACTTTTTGACAAATCAAGCGGAAATTGGTATCGTATCTTTAGCAAAGATGGCTGAATTATTCCCGCCAAAAATTAAATTGATTGCAGCGCCGCATATAGGCAAGGCCGCGAACTTTCCGAACAGCCCTCGTAGTGCCACAGAATATTAGAGTCATCAATCTTGTAGTAAAGCGATGATGTTAATCTTGATTCTACAAAATAATAATAGTTTCCTAATGATTTTTAAGCATTTCTATTCCTTTTATTCAATGAACTTCACAGATAGCCACAATTCACACATTTATCATGTGGCAGATGTGTAAAACTTAAAATGATCATAACTTCTGATAAGTGCATCTTTCAAAAAATGTTTTAGATAAAAGTTTGTTTGATTTTGATGGAAAAATTATAATGTGCAATAAAAAATGGAGTTTCTATTTAAGAAAATGAAGTTGAAGTTATTATTAAATAAAGATTATTCTAAACAGGGATTCTTTAATTATTTGCATTCTATATTTATAATAAACTTGGATTTTTAAAGTTTTTCCTTTCATTTTATAAAATAAATATACTATTTGCAGTGACCAATGCCACTAAAACAGCATCACAAATTTTTGAAATGATTTGAAGTTGACAAGAATAGAAATTGAATTTAGAATGGAAAACATTTCAAGAGAGAAGAGTTTAAAGACTAGAATCAAAATATTGACTTAAGTTATGTAAGAGCTCTTCTCTTTATGGATATTGATAAAAAGTATTCTAGAGTTACAAAAACTGTTATTACAAGTATTCTGTCCAGAAATAAATATATATACATTGTACTGTTATAAAAGTTATATTATTAGTTAATTACTTATTAAGAACTATATTAAAAAAATTATAAAAATTACAAACTTCTTTTAATTCTGCAGCATCACGATTAAATAAATTTACATATACTGGAATATTTTCTCTAATTTTTTCATTCAAAACTTCTTCTAATTCAGTAATCTTATCATTGGAAATAGTTGGTATGTCCAGTTCAACATAACTCAATTCATCTCCAAGATTCCATGATGTTGTATGAAAATTATACATATTCTCTGCAACAGCAGTAATTAAATGTTGTCCTACATATTAAAATTATAAAATGTTAAAATGAATAAAAATTTAATGTAATTATTTTAGAATTAATAATAAAAGATTTATTATATATTAAATAATATACAAATTATCTATAAATCAAATAACTATCAAATATACATGCCAGTTCTAATATAGCTAATTAATGATCAAATAGAGTAATTTTATCAAAAGATAGGGGTTATGCAACCATTTTGTATTATATTTAATAATTAGAAATAAATCTACATTTAAATAATTTAACCATCTATTTTCAGCTAAATTATTTTATGTAACCATTAATTTGCTATATTTCAGCCTGCATGGAGTTCTGCAATAGTTATTTGAATTATTGAATTATGATTGCATTTCTTTATGCAGTGAGAGTTTAGTGAAAATGACGTCATGAGCAGCTATTGCTACATGTCACTGCATCATAGTTTAGAAATGCTTTTCGCTTGAGCGAAACATAATGCCATAACCTATTCTTTAATTCCAGTTAAAACCAAAAGTAAAGAACTACAATATTTAAATAGATATAAAGAATTGAGCATTTCTCTTTCCAAAAATGTGAACAAAGTAAAGAGATAGAAGATATATAATTATATTTAAAATATAATATTNTAAATGTAGATATATTTGACTAAATTTTGAGAATAATTTTGAATATGCAAAAATCTAATTAATTTTTTAACTTTTGACGCATTAGAAGACTTACATAAAAATATAATTTTTTCGAGTCTACTCTTTAGATCCTTTTACAGTCCATCCCAGAAGTAACAGCAAAAACAGCTTGAACATATAACTAAATCTTCATTAAAAACAGCAATAATAGATTATTAAAAGATTATACAAGTTAAAAATGATCAAAACACCAGCCTTTTATTGTAGGATTCAGTGCTTTCACAATAAAACACTGATAAAAAAGTTTTTGCAATATCTACCATGTCTTGTAGCCGTACTTAATTTTTCAAGTTATAATATTACAAGAGCATTTTGAATTTTTGTTCAAGTGGGAAATATTAAGATTGGAAACTTTTATTTTGAAACTAATCACCTATCTAAGTTTTGGGCCAGCATATTATCACATTTTATTCTTTTTGATTTTTAAAAAATAAAAAAATCAATATATGGCATTTTAAATTATTTTTTAAATATATACACAAACTGTATAAATAAAAATAAAATATATGCTCTATAAGTATATTTTTTTGGAGGATGGAAGGTAAACCCAGACTAAGTAGTACTCTTTCTATCTAAGAGTAATTGATACATTGATATTATAATTAAATAACAAACAAAGTAAATAATAGTCCTTAGACAAAGAATAAATACTATATTTATATTATATAAAATGTATATAGTACAATTATTTTCATATGCCACATATATATTGACTACAAATTTTAACTCATGTAAGCTTACATACAAAAGTAAAAATGTCTGTTAGAAACTGTTTCTCTGCTTTTTTTCTGTTAATGAAGAAAGAACAACTTAATTGTAAAAAAAAAAGGCTTGCATTTATTTAAAAATTAGTGAGATGGATCTCAAGATACACAATTTAAGCAGGCACATGAAAAAGGCACTGTAAAAACATTGTTGACATAAATTTTAACATATTTAAATACTTTTGTGAACATTCATAGATAGAGATCTACAGAAAAGAGATCTTTATTTGATAGAGATCTACATTTAATGAGAGAAATTCAAATGAAATTAGCAAATATCTATTCTTTGTGTAATATTTTGATGAATATAAGATTTAATATGTAAAATAATCATTTACAGTATGATGACTAATATAGATTGATTTTTTCATATTTCATTTAAAATAACATTAATGTGTTAATATCATAGAAACAGAGATATTACAGAAAACAATATCATGATTTACAGTGTAAAAAAAATAATATCAATAATTACAATTAATTTCGTTGAATGATCCTCACCAAGACTTTAAATTTGTAAAAAATATGCAATAAAAATTATGGAATTAAAATCAGAATAAAATATACTAACATGTAGGCATGTAGGACTACAGTAAGAACAAATATTTTTAAGTTAATGACATTAATAACACCATACTGACAATTAAATAGATTATCATTGTTTCTTTCAATTACCAAAGATTATTTATTTAAATAATAATCTTTGTTCTTGTAATTTTTGTAATAATAATTTCTTTTTTAGTAAATAATCTTTGATAACCAAAAGAAGCAATGATAGTCTATTTAATACACATATAAATACAAAATATCCTTATTTCATTTTTCTAAATAAATATCTTTAACCTTTATTTTTAAGATATATGAATAGAGATTATAACAGATGATCTAATGCAGTGTTTTTCAACATTCTTGAATATGCGACCCCTTTACAAGTTAAAAAATTCTGGCGACCCCCCCAGGGCCATATTAAAATTATATCAGTGATTTTAAAAACTATGTATTTAATTTTCTTTCCTTAAATATCGATCAAAAACCAATTGTACTGTAAAATAAACAGGCACAGACTTCTCACTGAAATTTTAGTTATTTTTGTTGTAGTGTAGGATCTACAAACACTTGTCTTTTTCTTTCACCCGCGACCCCCATGTAAGGCTTTGCGACCCCCTGGGGGTCGCGGTTCACAGGTTGAAAAACACTGTTCTAATGAATTTAGATAAATATATATTATTTTGAACAAATATTCTCTTACCTTATTTGCAAATTTTAATGATTTTTGCAATTTATCAGCAATATGTATATGCTCTTCAGGAGGAGATCTGTTATAATTCAAAACATTAAAATATAAAAGTACTTTCAAAATAGATTAAATGTGTTTAGAAAAATAATACAAAATCAAAATAAATGAGCAAAAGATAATTTTTTGCTCATTTATTTTGATTTTGCTGCAATTTTTTATCATATTTTTAATTTACTTAATTTAAAATATATGATCTCAATCTCAAATTAATAGTGTCTTGCCCCTGTACATCATACTTTTCGTGATAATAACAGCTCATCTATGTAACTCCATTCTGGGAAAATTTTTAAGTTGAAATCATGAGACTTCCGGTCTAGACCGAAGTTCATATATAGTTAATTGGGGCCTCCTGCAGCCAAGCTTTCCATATCTGGTCTCAACATTCATTTATCTAACATTATTCTTGAAATTAAGGGAGGGCAGATAGCTGGACGACAATGGAAATCTGTAGGTCTACCATTTTTCAATTGCAGCCCAATCAAATTTTGTTTTATTTATTTAAAAACAGATACAATATAAATTTAACTAAAAACATTAATTGTTTTTATTGCACTAAATAATCTTTAAAAACATTAAAGAATACTGAACTTTCTTACTTGAATAGAATTTTTCAATTTACAATAATATTTTTTTTAAATTAGTAAGAGTTGTATAATGTAGTAAAAAAAAAAAAACCCTACATTTTGTCTATGATTAATATTTTTAAATTACAAAATTAGAAATAGGTAATAGTTAACTACAGATATCCCTCGTAAAACATGGCATTTCTACAACATGGTTTTGCTCTAACACAGTTAAAAAATTGAGAATATTCCTCATACAACACAATTTCTGATTTCATTCTAACATGGTTTTGGAAATCCTGTGCACAAAATTTCACAATTTTTAAGTGTAAACTTTGTTATTTGATATTTTTTTTTATTCAAGTAAGCATGTGTATTGTCTCAAATTTGTCCATGAATTTTAGAATATTGAAATTTTCAACTTATTCTATGCCTTTCATCAGGTTTACTTTAATGAAAATTGATAGTAGAATATTTTCTCCCTTTACCTAGCTTTCCTATCAACCAAGTGTCAATGTCATTGCTTTCAGATTTTAGCCTTTAAGATTGTCATCGTATTTTGTTTTTATAGATTAATCTTTGTATTTAGTAAATTTTTAGGTAAGTGTTATTAAACTTTTTTTAGCCATAGGTAAGTAATCATTCATAAAAATGATGAATGAAATACAATGGTATCTCGGTACTTGAACAATCCAGTATTCCACACAAATTCTGGAAAAAAGAAAAAAAAATCGCTCTATACTCAAATGAACAAATGTAATCCTCTAGAAAAAATTTTCAATTAACAACATGTTTTTATTTTGTCATTCATAAAAAATTATGATAAAAATAAAAAAAATGAAGATGTTGCTGATATTTCTGATCAAGATCAACAAAAAAGCTCATAAGCTGACAAAACTTTCTAAAAAGAAAATGCCTAATATTAATTAAAATTAATATTAATGCATGATACAAAACTTTTAATTGTGATTTTTGGTTAATTATTGATTTGGCAAAAATTATTGATTGCTTTAATAAACATATTTCTCTTAGCAACAAAAAAGAATAATATACTTTTGTTAACTTTAGGAACCTAATCCCTTGTTTTGCATTAGTCCTTTGTTTCGTATAGCATGGATTCACAAACATGGCACTTTTTCAGAATGTAATTACCTTGTTTCATGACGGATATTTGTACTAATGTAATTAAACTATGTAGTTAACTACTTGCATTATAATTAATTACTAGTTACAATCACTGTCCCAATTTAGTAATCAAACTACTAGTTAACTACATAAAGGTATCCCTCATATAACATGGTAGTTATGTTCCGAAAAAGTGCAGTGTTATGCATATCCTTGCTATATGAAACAAGGGACTAATGCAAAACATAGGGTTTCCATTATATTCCCAAAGTTAGTAACAAAAAAGAATAGTATACTTTTGCTACGAGAAATATGTTTATTAAAGAAATCAATAATTTATTTCCAATCAATAATTAATTAGCAATCACAATTAAAAGTACTGTATTGTGTGTGTTAATATTATATTAATTTTAGTTAAACAAGGGTGTTCTCTTTTTACAAAATATCATCATTATCTCAGCTTTTTTGTTGATCTTGATCAAAAATATCAATAGCATTTTCATATTTTTTATTTTTATCAAAAAAAATTTTTTATGGATGACAAAATAAAAATATGTTATTAATCAAAAATTTGTTCTAATGGGTCACGTCACGTTTGTTCAGTCAAGTACTGAGCAACTTTTTTCCAGAATTTGTGCTCGAATATTGAGATACCATCATATTTCATTCATCATTTTACAAATAATTACTTACCTACAGTTAAAAAAAAAAAAATTAACAACACTTACCTAAAAATGTTTAAATAAACTTTACTAAATATGAAGATTAATCTGTACAAAGAAAACACAGTGACAGACTGAAAGCAATGACAACACACCTGGTTGATAGAAAAGTTAGTGCGATTTTTTTCTTCCTTGTGTTATCAGTTTTCATTAAAGTAAACCTGACAAAAAACATAAAATAATTTGAAAATTTCAATATTCTAGAATCCATGGGCAAATTTGAGACAACATGCATGCTTACTTGAATAAAAAATATCAAATAATGAAGTTTACACTTAAAAATTGGAAAATTTTGTATGGAGGATTTCCAATTACTCAATTTATATGAGTATTTTATTTTGTTTTGTATTTGCATTGAGTTATTGCTCTACTCCTTAAATTAAAATGATTGGCAAGAATTTTCTTATAAAACTGAAATTTAGAAAACAACAATGTTAGTTTGAGTGTAACCCACCACTGACTAAAACCACTGAATATTATAATTGGTAACAGGTTTGCACCTCACCAGCATGCTGACTATATGGAATTTTCTGGGTTTTATTCATATGTCTAATATCTAAGTAAGGGCCAGTTTTTTGCAAATGTCCTTCCAGAGGCACTCTTCCCTTAGTAATCACCCAAGTGTTGCACTGCCTTAAACCATCCATCTAATCCAATCCTAGTATGAGCATGTTATGTAATTACAAGCATGTAAAGAATGATTTTTAAAATACAACACTACCTTCATCAATAGTGCTGCAGTGGAACATGTTTTCCTTATTGGAGAAATTTTAATGTTTAGTTATTGTGATAAATGAAAAATTTGAAAACAAAGTAACTACATAGTTAATTAGCAATTAAATTACATTCCCTTTCATTTCATAGTTAATTACTTTTATATGTTAATGCCCATTATTAAGTAGTACCTGCTTGCTGTTATCACAGATATTGTTATCAGTCATTTAATGTTATCAAATTAGTATATACAAAACATACAAGTTTATTTATTTATTTATCATAATTACAATAGGAAATGTCATACATATGATGTAAGTTTTCCTCCCCCATTTAACAATTGAACCCAAATACATAATTTAATTATAATTAATGTTTAATTAAAAAATACATTATTTTAATTATAAATGTAAAATTATAAACATTTAATTATAAAATTATAATAAAAAATTGTAAAAGTTAAAATAAATTTTTAAAACTTTGTCTATTATAATCAGTATTTCAGTTATCAGTCTTAACTAGTTCTTTGAATGTTACTTATTTTAATTATTATTTCCTTGAAGTAATTGCTGGCATTTCTTAGTTCAATTATATGCTAGCTGTTGCTGAAAACAATTAAGAAAATAAAGCAACAGAAACATCATCATGTAAACAATATGGGATAAATTACTATTAATTAATAAATCTTTAAACTATACATTTATTGTTTTTGCATGTCCTTTTATTGTCAATAAAACCAGAATTTCCATTAATTGTAATATTTATTTACCAATATAATGTTATCAGTCAGTTACCATCCTCAGTATAGGTAAATCCCTAAGTAATTACAATAAGTGGATTATACTATATTTTTATATCTTTTATTTAAAATGTTTTTTTAAATACAAGTAGGTATTTGTTTTAATGAAATATATTCTGAAATCATGAAGAATCTTTTGAAAGAAGCATCTCAATTGAAATTTTCAAAAAATGAATAAATTCTCACATTAAAATTAATAAAAGTCAAATCAAATAATATTTTCATAGAACATATTTATTATAATTTTAGAAGAATAAAATGAGATATAGCAAAATTAAAATGAAGAAAAAATACTAAAACCACTAAATTACAAACAAACTTTTAAAATAAAAATTATATTGTACAAATTAAAAATATTACAACATTTAATAATATATTTTACTACTAATGTTAAGAAACCAATTAGATATAACTATGCTTTCTGATAACTTCCTTGTCTTATAAAATTATTAATTTGCTTACTTTAATATATTATTCATGCTCCTTTCTCTGTGTACACAGTTTGACATATATTGAAGTAATCTATTTCCAACAACAAAATATAAATTTGTCTTGTTCTTCTTCCCTTTTTCAGCATATAATAATTTTATTGCCTAGAAATATAAAATTAAATTTATTATTATTATTAAATACTCAGTTCTTTAATAATGAAAAAGGCAATTTTATTTAGATCTATATAAATTTTTTCAGCTATCAATTATGTTATAATTTTGCTTCAATTTTATTAATATTTCATTCATTTATTTTAGTAAAATTATTAATTAGCAATTAAACAATATTATAAAATTTGTCTAAAAAATATATGCTTTAAATCTTATTCCATTAAATTTTAAAAGCTATTTAATCTTGCTATGTCTATTTTGTTGATATGTATTAAGTTTCAAAATAAAAACAAACATTAATTTCTCATAATAAAAAAATGTAATAAATTAAATAAATTTTTAATTGGCTCAAGTACTTTCATTATAAAATTATAATTATGAGGAAATACAGTATTTGTTTTAAATAGAATGAACTTTATCAGAATGTTTTGCCAAACAATCTGTCAGATTATCCATCAGGCTATTTTAAGCTAATAAATAATTAAATACATCTCAATTTGGCTACAGGTAGACAGTTATATTACCATCTCATGGTAAATTTAATAATTAGAAATATATTAATTGCAATTTATTAATAGAATATTCTGGAGAAAAAAATTGGATTTGAGCCCCACTCTTGGCCAATTCTTTCCTTCCAGAATATTCTAAATTAAAATTAATATATATATAGTAAGAAATAAAGAAAGAAAGAAATAAAATGAAACCACTTTTACTCTTCATAAATTTAAAGTTGCAAATTATGTATTTACTTGAATCCAGAAAATGGTTTTTAGACTCATTAAATGGTGCGCTTTGTTATTAGAACTTCTATGCTATATTTATTTGTTGAATAATTACAATGTAAGTGATCTTAAAAATCATTTTCAAGGCCAACAAAAAGGCCCCATTCAATTCTCCGTATGTGACTTCCTATTTAACTGCATTAACAAAATTAATATATCTTTAATACTTTTGGAAAAGTGTGCAAGGGACTTTTGACTCATTCTGTATATTGTTTAATGCTAATAGGATAAATTAGTTTTTAATTATTAATACAAAAAAATCTATATACAAAAATTAAATCAATTAACAATTCAAGTTTGATAACTTGAATTGTTAATTGATTTAATTTTTATATATTTTTGTACAGTTACCTCTATTAATTACAATGAAAAAGACTTCTTTAAATAAATGTTTAATTTGAGGGACTACATAATTTATATACAGTATTTGATAATGAAATTAGAAGAAAATAAATATTCTTAAAATGTATGAAAAAAAAAATACATTTTAAAAAATAAATCTGAATTTTTTATATTATCTGTATAAAAAGCAAACAATTAATATTACTTGTAAGTGACCAAGAGATGAAACATGAGTTCCACAACAAGTGTTGGAATCTATTCCCTTAATATTTACTACTCTAATAAGTTCATTTTCATCATCAGGAAGCTCTAACCTTGTTCTTACCTAAAAAAATAAAATAAATATATTTAATTTAAAAGTTTTAAAGCAATGAAACAGACACTAATTAAAAAGTATTAAGAAAAATTAATTAATACACAGTGAAACATTTTTGAATTATTCCAGTTTATAATAGTCTGTAACAAGTGGCCCAGTCTAAAGATCTAAATTAAACAAAATTAATGAAAAATGATAAAAAATTTTGTTCAATTTTTATATGGTACTAGGAATAAAATAGAAGGTATTAGGATTTTACTATTAGATATTTCATTTGAGAATTTCAGTGTTGTTCTGTTTTGTTATCCATGTGCAATGTGATACCACTTGTGATCTTGCACATACCACATGCCATGAGGGCACACACAAACAATGCTGTTTTAAGTAATTATAGGATGCAAAGGTTTTTAAACTTCTTGCCCCAGTATGGACTCTTGGGAAAAGGATTTCTTTTTGCAGATTTAATGAAAAAAAAAAGCCTTGAAATTTTTGGAGGTATATTAAAAAAAACATAAAAATAAAACAAAGTTAGATAAATAATCAGAGCTGGATAACAAAACAGATGTTAATAAATCTGTTCTGTTAGCCATCTATTTACATGCTAGATGTAAAGAAAAATGATCAAACTGGATAACAAAACCTTCATCCAATCTTCACTTTCAGATCTATTAATTTGGTCCATAAAATCATACAGGTTAATTACTTGCCTAAAGGGGAAAAATTTGTGCCCATAGTCCTCTATGACATTCAGCTGATTTAAGCATTACTCTGGCATGATACATATATGTATATGTCCCATTTTAACAGTCACCCAAGATATCTCAAAAATTATATGTTGTACAAAACAAATTTTCTAGACTGAAAATGTTTTGCATCAAGAGGGACACAAGATGGCCCTATTGGTTTCATCACAGATGGTATTACCATCAGTATAAATGGGGTTAACTTTATTTTCTTATATGGAAACCTCTTTCTTTTTTATTGCATATTATGATTCTACATCAAAAATAAACAAATTTTTATCTAAAGCATTTTTCAAAAAATGCACTTATCAGAAGTTATGAGTGTTTGAAGATTTATGCAGCCACCACACAATGCTTGCATGAATCAGTGAATATCTGTGAATTCATCAAAAAATGAAGAAAAATGCTTAAAAATCATTAAAGAACTATTATTACTTAAATCATTGGACTCATTCTTCTTCTTCTTCTTCTTCAAAAAAAAAAACTGATACAAAAACTACGAGGGCTGTTCGGAAAGTTCGCGGCCTCACATAGAAAAACAAACAAAATAATGTTAAAACTTTTTTATTTTTCAATGTAATCTCCTCTGTTAGCAATGCACTTATTCCAGCAATGTTCTAGCTTTTTTATGCCATCACAATAGGTCGATTTGTCAAGGTGTGCAAAATACTCGTTCATTTCAGAGATGACTTTGTCATTTGAGTGGAATCTCTTTCCAGCCAAGAATTTTTTTAGGTTTGGAAAAAGGTGGAAGTCACTGGGGGCCAAATCAGGTGAGAACAATGGATGTGGAACTAATTGGAAGCAAAGTTCGTTTATCTTTTGTTCAGTGATTCTGGCGGAATGTGTAGGTGCATTATCGTGGTGGAACAGAACTTTTTTCTTCTTCAAGTGTGGCCTCTTTTCTTCGATTTCTTTCTTCAGTTTTTCCCAGTAATTCACAGTTTTTCCCCAGTTCTTCACAGTAATAGACAGCATTAATGGTCTTTCCTCTTTCTAGGTAGTCAATAAAGATGATGCCTTTAACATCCCAAAAACCGAGGCCAATCTAAGTC